GATGAAAAGCAAAAGCAAAGACAATTCTTTCAGGAAGCAATAACACCTGGAAATAATGCCACTGAAGCGACTTATAAAGTAGCTTACATACTCCGGAAAAAAGTGATGTAGAAATTGTGAAAGAATGCATTGTTGAAGTTGTAGGATGCTTAGACCCAATAACCTTTCAAAGTACGGACAACTGCCTCTTTCAAAGAGAACCATAACTGATCAGCAGCATGAATTAGCCTTCAATGTAACAGAACAACCTTATGCAATATTTCAACAGGAAAATATGTATTATTTAATTGTTTTGGATGAATCAACTGATACTACAGACTTAGTGCAGATTTTAGACTCCATTTGGGTCATAACAGAAGATTTTCTTTGCTACAAAGAATTACTCACTTTGGGCACTCTTGCGAACCGAACGTGGGGAATCGATTTCTTCACCAACTTTCAAGATAAATGTCATGAAATTGGACTGAATTTGGTAAATTTAGTGAGTGTATTACAGATGGTTCACCTTCCATGGCAGGAAAACATGAAGAGTTTGTTGCACAGATTAAAAAAAAGTATTAACAGATGCAGATGCTCTCATTTCTTTTCATTGTGTCCTGCATCATGAAAATTTCTGTGCTAAAACTACTATTTTAAGTGACACTTTACAACAAGTTATAAGTGTTGTTAACTATACCCATGCAAATGCAACATGGCATCGTCAGTTTCATAACATGCTAAAGTTGAATGATGAAGTATTCGGTGTGGGTTTGCTGTATCATTCTGAAATGCATTGGCTATCACGGGCACAGGTGTTAGCTAAAATCTTATCTCTGCAAGAACAGATAGTTAAATTTTATGAAGCACAGAATCAGCAATGTGAATTATTGAAAGAAGATTTCTATAGGAATGCTGCATTTCTGTGTGATATCATGTCAAACCAAAATGATTTGAATATTTCTCTGCAAGGTAAAACTAAGTCTAGACATGATATGTGGCAAAAAAAAAAATCCAAGCATTTCAAAAAAAGCTATCTTTTTTCAAAACACTTCTTCAAAAGGAAATTTTGGATGAACATTTTCCCAGTTAGCAAAAGTCATTAATGAGCAGGATGATATATTCAAATCATTTGAAGAATATACAGCTATTATAGACCTATTAATTGGAGAATACAATGAAATGTTCATTGACTTGGAGAATCATGACATCCCACTCTAATCAGCATTTCAGCCTTACCTAGTTGATATCACCAAGACACCTAAAGAACTACAGATGGAATTGACTGAACTTTCAGTAGATGACATTTTAAAGTCATTGTTTGATGCTATGAAAGATCCAATTGAAATATGGAAAAATGTAGTAGAATACCCGTGTCTTTGGCAACATGACTGAAAAAATGCTTTCTTGCTTTTCAACCACTTACTGCTGTGAGTCTACATTCTCCTACCTAACCCAAATCAAGAGGCCCTTAAGGCCACAAATCATTGATATCCATCCAGAGGATCAACTGAAACTGCAGACCTCCATGCTGCAACCAAATATTCAAATTCTTTCCAACAAAAAGCAGACACAACAAAGTCATTAAAAGGTTAGTTAACTTTATAATCAACAAATAGTTTTCATTTTTTGAAATTATTAAGTACATAGTAGCTAGATTTTTATAAAATAATATACATTTTAAGTATATCTAATTGAAGTTTCTTGAATGCAGCTTTATTTGATTACAGCTGAATATTAATGAGGCCTTCCAATACGAAAAGGTTTTTCATTCCTGTCTTAGATCATTGTATTGTTAATATGAGCTAAGTTATTCATAGTTGTTCATCACACAATGTTACTGTTATTATATACAATGTTCCCCTGGTTCTACTCAATTCACTTTGCATTAATTCATGTAAACCTTTCCAGGTTTTTCTGAAACCATCCTGCTCATCATTTCTTGCTGCACAATAATATTCTACTACATTCATATATCACATATATCATTGTTCAACCATTCCCCAATTGCTGGGCATCCCCTCAATTTCCAATTTTTTGCCACCACAAAAAGAGCTGCTATAAATATTTTTGTGCATTTAGGTCCTTTCCCCTATTTAATGATCTCTTTGGGATCCAGATCTAGTAGTGGTATTGCTGGATTAAAGGGGTATGCACAATTTGGTTGCCCTTTGGGCATAGTTTTAAATTCTTCTCCAGAATGGTTGGTTCAGTTTACAATTCTACCAACAGTACATTAGTGTCCCAATTTTCCTGTATCCTCTCTAACATTTATCATTTCCCTTTTCTATACTTTTATAACTTTAAAAGTGAATGGATTAAACAATCCAATAAAATGAAAAAGAGTGATAGATTGGATAAGAAAATGAAACCCTACAATCTGTTGCTTACAAGAAACACATTTAAACCACAGACATACAAAAAAAAAAACCAAAAACTGAGGTGATAGGAAAAATCCAAAAATCTAGGAGTTGATATCATGCCATATATAACAAAACAAAAACATTTTTAAAATAAAAATGGATAAACAAAGGAACTATATTATGCTGAAAGGAATCATAAACAACAAAGCAATATCAGTAATAAACGTATATGACCTAAGTGCCTTAGCATCCAAATTCATAAAGGAAATACTATCTGAGTTTCAAGAGGACATAAAGAATAACACAATAGTGACAGGAGACTTCAATATCCCTCTCTCAATGTTGAAAAAGTAACAGAAAGATTGGCAAAAGGGAAAATATGGAACTGAAGAAATTTCTGGAGGAACTAAAGTCAAAAGACTTAGGTCATCTTCTAAATGGGATAGCAAAAGAATATACATATTTCTCAGCACCATACAGAACTTTTAGAAAAATTTACCATGTACTAGGGCACAGAAATATTATAAACAAATGTAAAAAGGTAGAAATAATTAATATATTCATTACAGACCATAGCACAAGAAAACTAGGGGGAAAAAAGGTAACTATGGGAAGTTATACATCAGTGGTAGGCTGCATTATCAGAGACAAGGTGGTTCGGGGCCCTACCATGAGGCTAACAGCTTAGCAACTCCCTGTAAATTATGTTCTTAGAAAGTTTTTTCATTGGATAAGTGACTTGGTCTCCCCTGCTCGTATGCATCAGAGGCAGGATTTTAAAAATCTTCCTAACTCCCTTTATCCATTCAGTGGCTCTATTTCTTGATTGTGTACTCAATACATCATCTGAGGCTGAGATGCAGCAAAGTATGGATCAATTCTCTGCTGCTTGTGCTAATTTTGGTCTAACAATTAACAATAAGGAAACACAGGTGCTCCACCAGCCAGCACCACACCATCCATATGTGGAACCATCAGTTACAGCAAATGGAGAAGTTTTGAAAACTGTGGATAAGTTCACTTCCCTTGGCATTGCCAGAGCTAACTCAGTGCTTGGGAGGCTCCCAAAGAAAAGTGTGAAAGAGAAGAGATACTAGACTGCCTACCAAACTGAAGGTCTACAGAGTCTTTATGGTGACTTCATTGTTGTATGCTTGTGAAACCTAGACAAAATACTACCACCAGGCCAGAAAACTGAATCAATCCCATTTGTATTAGGAAGATTCTGATGATCACCTGGCAAGATAAGGTACCAGATACTGAGGTCCTTTCTCAAGCTAAACTGCCAAGCATTGAAATTCTACTGCAAAGAACCCAATTCCAATGGATTGGCCACATTGTTTGAAAGCCACATGTATGTTTGCCTAAAAGACAGAGAAATCACACAAGGCAAGTGCTCACACAGAGGCCAGAACAAGCAATACAAGGACACTCTCAAGGTCTCTCTGAAGAACTTTGGGTTCAATGAGAGACATAGCATAGGGCATCCAGCATGGCATGCCTGCATCAAAGAAAGCACTGTGCTCTATGAGTGAAGCAGAATTGTAGTAGCTCAAAAGAAATGTGAGATGCACAAATTTAGAGACATCTCCATTCCAAATGGTTCATGTGGATTATTTGTGCTGGATCTGTGGTAGAGACTTTCAAGTTAGTATTTGTCTGATCAGCCATAGTCAGACACACTTTACCTTGATTCCAACATAGTGATGTTATTTTGGCTCTCTTTGAGAACAGAAGGACAACAACCAACTCTGTTTCTACAATTTTTTTCCCCTTTACTACCTAAATTTCAACACCTCCCTGTCTTTCTGTGTTTCATCAACTGGATATAGCTTTCTACAGAGGAACACAAGATCTGAAAACATCTGTGCAATTGACTGGAATCAGTTTTGTCAAGACCTGACACAAATCTCATCATACTAGGACTTCTGAGATACTTGACTGAAAAGAGGAAAAAACTCAAAGGGTCCCCTAGCTATTTTATCTGCTCTTGGACCCCATTTGTCTAATCAAACCACAAGCTGCCCTTTGTTAGTCCAACATCATCAATTCTTGTTGGCCCTCAAATCTTTCTTTCCTCAGACCTTCCTTAGGAGCCTATGTCATTATTCCAGACAGGAACAACCAAGGCAAATAGATATACAACGATTACACTAATGTAAATGAAAACAACAGTAGAAGGTTATTGAACTCAGCTTAACAAATCTTGGTTCCAAAGGGCAGTTGATGAAAGCTTCCCATCTGTAGAGAAGAGGTTATAGGGCCCAATTCTGTCCGACATAATTGGTGAGTGGATTAGTTTTGCTAAACTTTTTCTTTGGGACATGGGAGTATTCTTTGGGGGAGAGACCCAAAAGGTCTGGGTTGTAAGAAACCAAACTGCATCATTAAGAAACAGAAGAAAAAAACTAACTAACCTAATGAAATATGTCATATAACACTTCATAATCATCAGCACTTACAAGAATTCCCTGTATTTCCTAGATGTCACGCTACTTAGAAAAATATCTGCCTTTGAACTCTTGCTAGATGACAAAGTGAGCGCAACTCCACCTCTATGCTTAACTACCCCTTGGACTCTTAGCTCCTCCCTCCCTCCACTTAATTGTTCCTCTATTCCTCGGCTCGCCTACAGCTGGAGGCGGGCTGGGGGTGGAGGAGCTGCGGGAAGCAGTAGGGGGGACGGGCAGCTGAAGCTGGGGCAGGGGAACTTTTCTCTGGAGTGGTAGGAAGAGAGGTGAATGGGTCTTATCTTCCCATTTCTTGCGGGAAAACCTAAAGAACACTTCTTCCTGTGGAAAACAGACATTACTCGCCAGAGCCACCCACTTAAGGAAGCCAGACTTCAGAGTTTTGTTTTTGTTTTTCTCATGCCCAGGTAAGTCTGTTGGACCCTTATTTCTACACCCAGTGGGTGCCGCAGCTGCCCAAAGTACTAGACGCTCCTCGATCACTCTTCTTTCTGTGGCACCTCTTGTTAGGAAAGGGATTTCTCTGGGACAGAAGTGGGGAGCGGGATAGCACTGTTGTCTATGTGTTGCAATGTTTTCTCGGAAGAAAGAAAACATGCTATGAGTGACAGGTGTAGTAATTTACTAAACTACACTCTCCTAAATGCCAGAGGTAGTGTGGACGCTCCTTCTTTAAAGTGGCGTTCAGCACTGGACATTTAAGAAAATATTTCCGTAGCTATCCGGCTTCTTGACGTGCATTCCTCTGCTTGCACTGGATTATTTTTCTCTTTCACTGGGCATTATTATTTTAACAATTACGTGACATCTGTGTTAGAGACAGTGGGGCTTGACTGACAGAAAATTAGCTTCGGAAATCAGGATGAGCGAGGTCTAGTCCCTGCTTCTGAAACCAACTGGCTGAGTAACCCTGGGCAAGTCTTAGATTTGGGGCTGTCTGAGCTGGCTGTGCTATACCAATTAAATGACAAAAGGGGGAAAATCCCATGTAAAGAAGGTTTAGGTCCTTAGAAAAGGTGGTCTGGGATGGCGTGTGATTGGGGGGTGGAGTGGAATAGGACGAGGAGGAGCGGAGCCGAAGAGAGAGAAGCCAGAGAGAGAATGATAGCTTGAGTGGAGAAAACGCTGGTGGACTCAATTACCGAAGGTGCTACTTTTTTTGTTCCTCTTTCACGATTTGTCCAGTGGAAACGAGAACAAGTCATGGTTCTTCCTCTTGAAGGATGGTAAGAAGGCAAATTAGGATAAGGAGTGTTGCTATTGTGAGAATGGAGGGAGCTGATGGTGATGCAATGGAGACTTGTGAAGGGGCTGACATCTGCCTTATACAAGACCCGGGCGAATGCCATTCTTAGGGCATGGAGAGGGAGAGGAATGCTTCAGATCTTCTTTGTAAGGGCTTGCTGGAGGACGGGGTAAAAGTCTGGGGGGAGGACAACTAGTCACAACTGGCCACTTGGCAAGATAAAAATTCCAACAATCCACTCAAAACTCCTTTTCCCATTTCTCAAGTCTCAGTCTATGCCTAGGCATCAGTATACAGAAGAATAAGGATGATGAGAAAAACAGAGATTTAAAGTTTTGCTAAGCATTTTCCTCACAACAACCCAGTGTGGTAGGTGAAAAGTGACAAATTGAATTGAAACATACCAAAAACACTTTATAGGAGTGACTTCCTAGAACATACCAGTGTCAGCCATTAAACGAAACTTAAAAAAAAAAAAAGATTAGGAAATGGTTCCTTTTTTTTTTTGCTGTGAAGGCTGGTATTTGAGTACGTTGCTTAGAACATGCAATAGCTAGAGAACAACACGCGAGATCAATTAATCAACAAGCATTTATTAAGTGCCTGCTGTGTGCCAGTATTGTGTCTGAGAAAGAAAAAAAGAAAGAAGAAAGGAAGTGTTGCAGTCAAAGGGTGCTGGGAACCCCAAAATTCAAGGGAAAAAGGTGCAGGTTCTGGACTCAAACCTTCTTTCAGTCAGAGACAAGGTTTATTAAAACACCAGTTGGGGTGGGAAAGATTCCTAGTGAGTCTGCATTATTGGCCAGGTTTTAAGAATCTGAGCTATTTGTGATGCTAATAACAAGCCAACCAGACTCTTAAGGAATCTGAGCAATTGGTAGACAAGACTGACCCCTTTTTATAGTGAAAAAGACCGTGGAAAGACCTGGATGTGATAAAAGAGTGGCCAAGAACTTGGGGTGACTAGGAGATAACAGAGAATGGGGCTAGATGGAATTAAGGAGTGGGGAAATAGCCTGGGGTGGGGTCAGGTGCAGACTATGAGGGCCACAATGAAAGGGCAGTTAAAAGGATTATACTGGGATGGACTGAGCGCCTCAGGCAAGCACTAGAGACTTGATTCAGGGGCTTTGGACTCCAATGAGAATCCCACCCCCCATCAGAAGGAGGGAAGGAAGGAAAAGATCCTACCCTCAAGCATTCATTGGCAGTAAAATGAAGTACATAGGATGAGTGCAGAGGGAGAAACTAGCAAGAAACTAGGGTTCTCACAGAAGTGTGTCTTCTGATTGGACAAATGAATCAAGTTTTCATAATGTTAGTAGAATGAAAACACCTTGAGAGGGTCTCTTTTTTTTTTTTGTCTCCTCTATGAAGTCTCTCCTGATTTTTGCAATTGTTGGCACACTCCCATTCAATTTTCCTTATATTGATTTGTGTACGTGTGTCTCTCCACACCTCTCTCCCCCCCAAAAACTTCTTGAGGGCTAAGACTGCTTTGCCACAGGATTTAGCTCAGTATCTGGCACAATGGGTACTTAATAAGTGTTTGTTGTTGAAGCACCCTGAAACACATTTAAAAAAAAGAAACACTGAGATTTCACAGGAAGTTCTTTGTCTATGGCAAACCAAAACTGAAAATAGAATCCAATGGGGAAATCATTTGTTATTTACTTAGAATGTTGGTATTTGAGGAAATTCAGGATTTAATTAGATCACCTGGAGGTTACTGGTTTAAAGATACTTAAGGAAGTTCCAGGTAGTTCTGGGGCAGAGGCAGCAGTAGCAGAAGCAGGTACAATGGATAGAGCATTAGACCTTCCTGGAGGCAGGAAGACCTGAATTAAAATTTGATCTAAGATACTTCCTAGCTGTGTGACCCTGTGCAAGTCATTTAACCACTCTGTGCCTCAGTTTCCTCATCTGTAAAACAGAGATAAGGATAATACTCACTCCCAGGATTGCTGTGAGGACCAAAGGAGATGAAATTTGTAAAGCACTTAGCTCTGTGCCTGGCACATAGTAGGTTCTTCACAAATGTTTGTTTCTTTCCTCTGAGAGCTTTAGAAGCTGGTAGCACCGGTCTGTTTGAGATACTTTTCTCAAATATTTCCAGGGAAGTCCGAACTATTGTTTTCTTTTTCTCAGGGTGAATTTCCCTTCTACCTGGGATGGAAACTTTGACTGGTTCAAACCAGAGGTTGGCAGATCTTGAGAGGGTTGGAGTCTTATCACTTTTATAGTGCCTTGGTTCCTTTCCTTATTTAAGAAGCCTGAAGTTTTTCTCTAAGTTGTGAATTTTGGGGGCAGCAGCTCTCTCGGCCCACAGTAACTTTCCTTGCCTCTGACTGCCTAAATCAACCAGTGCATGAATCCTCTCTGGATGAAAGTCCAGCCAAGGCCTCACATCTGCCATTCAAAATCAATTTACTTTCAAACCCTGTCAGTTATTTGTTAAAAGTCATTCTTTGGAGTATCATTAAACCCATTAGGCTTTTTAACAAGTCTGTTGGTTTCCTTGATCTCAAGGTATGACTATTTAATTTTTGTTCCTTAATTCACCATAAATGTTATGATTATAATTATAATTATATATTAAAGAACTTCTCTAATCCCTCCCAGTTGCTAATATTTCTCTCCCTTGGTTACACTGAATGCAGTCCCTTTTGCATTTCTTCCTGTTGAAATTCATTTCAATTCAATTCAGCAGTGCTAGGTGCTAAGGATGCAAAGTCAAAAACAAAAGATGATGGTGTGATGACAGAATCAACCAGACTTGGTAATTAATTAGATTTGGAGGGAAAGGGAAAAGGGAAATGGACAGCTAGATGGTGCAGTGTATAGAGCACCAGGCCTGGCATAAAGGAAGACTAATCTTCCTGAGTTCAAATCTGGCCTTAGACACTTATTAGCTGTGTCACCCTTGGAAAATCACTTAACCTTGTTTGCCTCAGTTTCCTCATCTGCAAAATGAGCTGGAGAAGCAAATGGCAAACCACTCCAGTATCGTTGCCAAGAAAACCCCAAATGGGGTCACAAAGAGACAGATATGACTGAAAGATGACTGAACAACAATGAAGAAGGGAAGGGATGAGAGAGAATGATTGGAAGAATGATAGTGCCCTTCACAGAAATTGGGAAGTTGTGAGGAGTGGGGAAAGGTAATGATTTCTGATTTGGACATGTTGAATTTAAGATGCTATGGAAGATTCAGCAGGAAATATCCAACAAGCAGTTGATGATGCAGGATTTGAGCTCAAGAGAGAAATGAGGTCTAAGAATCATCTCCTAGAGGTGCTCATTGAATCTATGGGAGTTAATGATATCACCATGGGAGAGTGTGGAAAGGGAAAAGAAGAGGGCTCATGATAGAGCCCTGGGGTATACTCACACATAGCAGATGGGACATAGATGATGAGTCTGAAAAAGACATTGAGAAGGAATGGTGTAGGTAGAAGGAAAATGGGGAGTGATTAATATCACAAGAGCCAGGTAGTAGAAAGATCCAAAAGAATCAACAGTGTCAAATATGGTGTGAAGATGTGGATAGAGTGCCAGGCCTGGAGACAAGAAGACCTGAGTTCAAATCTGGCCTCAGACACTTACTAGGTGTGTGACCCTGGGCAAGTCACTTAACACTGTTTGCCTCAGTTTCCTCATCTATAAAATGAGCTGGAGAAGGAAATGGCAAACCACTCCAGTATCTCTGCCTAGAAAACCCCACATGGGGTCACAGAGACTCACCTGGACATGACTGAAAATGACTAAATGAATTGCAGTAAAGTAAGCAGGCACAGCTAGGTAGTGCAATGGATAATGCACTGACCCTGGAATCCGGAGGACCTGAGTTCAAATGTGGCCTCAGACACTTACTAGCTGTGTGACCTTGGACAAGTTACTTAATCCTGATTGCCCCCCCAAAAAATGTCAGAGACAATAAAGAGATGAGTGGTGACATTGAAAAGATGTTTTTAAAAAGTTTTAATCAAGTGGTGGGGATGGAAGTCAGATTTCAAGGGTCTGAAAAGTAAGTTTGAAGATAATAAAACAAAGACAATGAATCAGGAAACAAGGAGGCCAAATGAATAAAGTGTTCTTGAAGTCAAGAAGACCTGGGTTTAAGTTCTGTCTCGGATACTATTTCAGTAACTGTCTACGTGA